GTCCCGCCTCCTCCTCCCCCCCCTCCTCCGCTGTCCCAGGGGAAGCCAGGAAGCCTCTGCACGTCTCCATCGCCCAGTGCTGTAAATCTATTTAGAAAATTCATCTTCCAAAAGGCACCACCGGAGCATTTCCAGCCCCGGGCGTTCCAGGACGGGTTTGCAGTGCTTTTTGCGCTGGGTCCCCCTGCCCCGCGGGTACTGCTGTCCGATTTTGGGATCAGCTCAACTTGACTTTCAGGACTGCGCGCTCCCCTTCCCCACAGCAAACCCGCTGTGAAAGCAACCCCCAAGGTCACAGAGCATTCACCCGCCTCTCCTGCGCTGCTCCACCCGCAAAAAGAGAAAAATAGGACTTTTTTTCTTCCTTCTAAACACATTACCTTCCCTTTTCTCGGTATTTCTGTCCCTCTAGGGCTCCATCTACAACACAAATGAGCAGGGCAGGGGGCCAAGTTTTTGCAGGGCTGTTTTGCAGCAAAGAAAGGCACTTTGCTATCTCTAACACACGCAAAACCCTCCACCAACAAACCTGCGCCACCTAAACCCCCACCGCCCCCTCTGCTACGGCGCAAACCCAGAGCGACGTGCCACGGGAAGGGAATGCAGCCACCAGCACCGGGGCCACCACCTCCTTGTCGCCAACAACAGGTAGGTGAATCTGACAGCTTTGCAACTAGTTGTAGTGTTTTATGTCCCACTGCAGCCTCGGGATGATCCCAAGGACACTGCTGGGGATGTGGGAATGCTGCTGGAGGTCAGCTCGGTCTACCTGGCAGCTCCCGGCCCCGTTTTTGGGCAGGACCTTGCGCTGGCAGGGAGGAACGTTCGCTCACCGTAGGTGAAGAAGCCGGGCAGGTACAGGACTTTCCTTCCCAGCACGTTTCTTCCGACAGTTGGAGGTAGTGGCTCGTGCCCGACCTGCAAGAGGAACCCCGTGAGCAGGTCCCTGCCCCTGTCCCGGCGCTCCTGAAGCCCCCCCGGGCCACGCGGCCTCGATCCGGCATCCGCAAGCTGCCGAAGGGCCACGTGTGTGTCCCCCCCCCCGTCACCCTCAGATACATGGGGGTGCCATGACATGGGCAGTCCCTTTCCCCATTATACAGGGCCCCTAGGGTACAGGGGGGCCTCATCCTTCCCCTTTTGTGGGGGTCCCTATTACAGAGGGGTTCTCAGGACACTGCAGGTCCTCACCCGCTCCCCGCCACACAGGGGTTTCCCATCCCTCATTCCATAGGAGTCCCCATTGCAGCAGGTATCCTCATCCCTCCCATTTTATAGGGGTCCCCCCTCTACAGAGTGTCCCCATCCCCTGTCATATGAGGGGGTCACCTCTCCCCCCCCCCCCACTATAAAGGAGTCCCCACTGTATAGGGGTCCTCATCCCTCCGTTACATAGGGCTTCCTATTCCCTGTTATATAGGGGATCCCCTTGTAGAAGGTATCCTCATCCTCCCAGCGTATAGACTTCCCCATTTTACAGCTGCCCTCATCCTCCCCGTTACACAGGGACCCCCATCGTACAGGGTGACCCCATCCCCCGTTATATACGGGGTTCCCGTTGCGTGGGGGTCCTCAGAGCCTCCTTATTAGGGGCGTCCCCCCATTATATGGGTGCCCCCATTGTGTCCCCTGTTATAAA